GTGAACTGACGCGGAGGCAGGGCACCTGTGAACTGACGCGGAGGCAGGGCGCCCGTGAACTGACGCGGAGCGTTTTGAACGGAGCACAGGTACCGTGTCTGAGAAAGGGTTAGCCTTCATCACAACGAGGGCATGTATCAGTGCTCACCGCACTTGGTCCAAGCGGCCCCGCGTTCTTTCGGGCCTCTGACCCGCTCTACAGTTAGTTATGCGGCGCGGACTACGTGGAGCATTAGGTAGAGCGTACAGAGCACAGACGCTGGATCGTCGCCATGGCCCTGGCACGCTAGCGAGGGAGTATGAAGCATGAAGAAGAGGAGTGTTGCTTTTATCTTGTCCGTCGCATTCGTAACACGGATGCGTAAGCCCGCTGCAGTGCTGCTTCACAAAACTGTCCGATTGGTCGTTAGCCGAGGACACGCCCACTTTGAGCCTGGGTCGTGGGAAGACTTGAGCGCCGGTTCCCACACGATGACATCCTGTTGCACACGACCCAGTGCTGCAGCTGTCGGAGTTGGAGCGAGAGTGGCCTGGCCGAGCGAGCTTGCCGCGGGAATGTCTCGGTTACGGGAGTTCGTTTAGCCTTCTGGACTTCGTTGAATGCTTTGGGCGCCGTCGCGCACGCCTTAACTTTGCTGGAGTGGTTTGCGGTCGTAGGGGAGGTGGATGGGGGCGGCGGCGAGAGGCTATAACTGCCGACTGAGGAGAGGTGGCGGCACGAACGTCTCCCGCGGGATGGCGGGCGGCGGCGCGCGGGTCGAGACCGTGGTCGCCGATATCGGGACAGCTCGCTCCCCTGGCACGTGGGCTCACACCCACACGAAATGAGAGTCACGGGTCGACCCGTACGGACGGGCCTCAGCCAGTCAGGTTTGTAGTAGAAGTATGACTAGTAATTGGGTTTTGAGGGTGCATCAACTGTGGTGATTCCTTGCTGCCAATCAGGTTTTAAGTGCGCTTGTGCGTTGAATTGGAGTGGGTTGTTTTCGGGTCATGACGTCGGCGAGCCGACTTGGGCCTGCTGGTAGGTACGCAGACGAAGCTCACTGCATGTGGTGTGGCTTCATTGCTAATGGCTTCACACCATCAGGGCGAAGAACGGAATCAGACCGATAACAATGGTCGGCACTTCGTAAGTCCACGGGTGACACAACTTATTTAGACACGAACCGTATTGCAGCTGTCAACAATTTCACTGTACATGTCACTGCTCTGCGACTTGCAGCCTTAGACCGTCGTATACCGACACTGGGTACATAGTCCCTCAGCTCGAGCTCCAGGTGAACGTTGGTGACATTTTCGTCCCGCTATTTAAACCAACGAAGTTGGTTTTTACCTGGGGGTAAAACGCTTGCTTCATCTAACGCATTTTGTCTCGGCCGAACCGTCAAAATTGCATACAGTTTTTGGTAGTTATTGCCGGAAACACGCACACCTTGCCAGTGACAGCCACCATGGCATGACCTGCCACCGACAGCCACCATGGCCTGCCCTGCCAGTGACAGCCACCATGACAAACCCTGCCAGTGACAGCCACCATGGCATACCCTGCCAGTGACAGCCACCATGACATACCCTGCCAGTGACAGCCACCATGACATACCCTGCCAGCGACAGCCACCATGACAAATTCTGCCAGTGACAGCCGCGACGGCGCCACTGTCGTCCCGGCGCCATCCACGTCGCACATTGGTATGCATTCGCACGGCAGCCCTGATGGGCCGGCCATTTTTGACGCGGTGTTAAACGCTGCGCGATATCCGGCAGTGAGTGCCGACGTCAGCGCCGTCTGCCTGTCACCGGTGCGACGCGAGGTGCGACGCGAGTGGGCGCCGGCGGCCCGCCGTCGGCACGCCCTGACGCCGGCAGAGGAGCACCTCCAGCCAGCCTCAGTCGGTTTTCGCCGCCGTCCGTCTGCGCCATGTAGCCGGGATCCGGCGGCCGCCGCGGGCGAGTGCTGGTGGGCTGCGCCGTGCGGCGGCGGGCGGTCTTCAGGCCGTCTCCACCCGACGACGGGCGGTCTTCAGACCACCTCCGCCCGACGGTGGGCGGTCTTCAGGTTGTCTCCGTCCGCAGGCCGTGTCCGGCTGTCGGCGGGCGGTCTTCAGACCACCTCCGCCCGACGGCGGGCGGTCTTCAGGCCATCTCCGCCCGACAGGGGGCGGTCTTCAGGCCGTCTCCGGTCGTCGGCGGGCGGTCTTCAGGCTGTCTCCGGCCGGTGGTGGACGGTCTTCAGGCCATCTCCGCTCGACGGTGGGCGGTCTTCAGGCCGTCTCCGGTCGTCGGCGGGCGGTCTTCAGGCTGTCTCCGGCCGGTGGTGGACGGTCTTCAGGCCATCTCCGCTCGACGGTGGGCGGTCATCAAGCCGTCTCCGCCCGACGGCAGGCGGTCATCAGACCATCTCCGCCCGACGGCGGGCGGTCATCAGACCATCTCCGCCGACGGGCGGTCTTCAGACCATCTCCGCCCGACGGCGGGCGGTCTTCAGCCCGTGTCCGGCCGTCGGCGGGCGGTCTTCAGGCCGTGTCCGGCCGTCGGCGGGCGGTCTTCAGGCCGTCTCCACCCGACGACAGGCGGTCTTCAGGCCGTGTCCGGCCGTCGGCGGGCGGTCTTCAGGTCGTCTCCGGTCGTCGGCGGGCGGTCTTCACGCTGTCTCCGGCCGGTGGTGGACGGTCTCCAGGCCTTCTCCGCCCAACGGCGGGCGGTCTTCAGGCTGTCTTCGGCCGTCGGCGGGCGGTCTTCAGGCCGTCTCCGGCCGTTGGCGGACGGTCTTTAGGCTGTCTCCGGCCGGTGGCGCGAGCGGTACGTTGCAACGCTGGGCGTGTGGACTGCCGGCGGCTGGAGCGGCGGTGGCGGGCGGCGCGGAGGACTGCTCCGGGCCACTGCGACCGCTCTGTGGGCCACAGGCGCCGGCCGAAACTCGACTGAGGTGACGTCACCGGTCACAGTTGGATACATTGGAGCTGCCACGGAACCCCAGCCACCAGCGTGTCTCACAAACTACACCGCACAAATAGATATTGTCATAGCTGATTTGGAATAAGACACTGAGTAATGGTGACCTGGCTGTACTGAAAACAGGAGCTTCGGTGGCTGAAGTTTGGCTCCACCTGCCGCAGGAGTTCCGCTTGTCTTCCCCCCCCCCCCCCGGCCGTCGGGTCGGGACCGGCATTCCAGGGGGACGGCTAGCCACCGTCTCATTGCTGACCTGTGTGGCCGTCAGAGCGAGAACAGTGGGACGCGTTCACACGTGTGCGGTCCGGCAGATCGAGGCGCGGGGAAGGCGCTTGTGTCTGGCCGTCAGTGAGGTCAAATGCCGGCCCGGGGCTCCAGTTGTGCCTCGCTTATGACACCGTCAGCTTTGGCCCGCTGCGGCACGCTGGTGCTCGACGGACGGGTGTAATCGCCGCACTGGGAGGAGGCGCAACAAGCGCATCCTGTCACGTGGGCCAGGATGTACTTGTTCTTCTCATTAGTGGTAAAATGACCACTGTTGTATGTTTTCGATAAAAACATCAACTCGGGCCAGCTGGTCGGCTGATCACTGGGACGCGATCACGTGATCACACGCACAAAAACCTCCAGACGCCTGTGACAGCTGGAATGTGCTTTGAAATGCTTGCGTGCCCGACTTCCGCGGAACCAGTGTCTGGTCTTACCTTTAACACCCCCACTGGGAAATGGCGGAAAGGTCAGCATTTCTGCACTTCAGTAGAACTGAAATGTTAAGCGGCCGGGCAAGGTTGTGCGAACGCGTCCCTCGGCGTTACCTCGGAATAGATTTGGCTATTCTTACACCCGGTCTCCGACGGTGATTGTATTCGGGGCCGAGTGCTCCCCGGCCGGCCACCAGACAGCCAAGGCCACGAACGGCTCTGTCGGTCTGTTTGTATCGTAGGATTACTCAAGGTTGCGACCGAATGGAGATTGTTATCTGATTGCGTTATCGAATCGAATGTCAATCGCTCTGCGGCTATAAACGCAGATGATTGGCGACGAGATTGATTACGTTTTTTTTTTCTTTTACACAGCGGAAGTGAGCACTAGTATGCTGACCGCCCGCTGCGCGTCGAGTTGTTGGAATCAGATGCCTGGCGAATATGCGAATACCTGTGCCGACCACATTTGAGTTCAGGTTTTTCAGTGACCGAAATGCACACCATAGTTCCAAGACTCGAGGCTAGCTACTTTATCACGCACCCACGCTTTGTGCCACTATGCTGAGTTGGATGTGTGCTGCCAGGTTCCGTGCACTCTCTTGCCGTAGGTCGGCTCTGAGCAGCGGCACTGTCTCGGTGAGCCTGCTGTCGGCCAGGTTGCCTCCGTCGCCGTCATGTCGTGCGCCCGTCTGAGCGGCGCGTCTCGCCGCCGGCAGAGTTCCAGGACCCGTACGGCATCGTGGTGCTGCTGCAGAACGACCTGGTGGTGGTGGACCTGACGTCTCCTGGCTACCCGTGCTTCGAGAACCCGTACCCGATGGACCTGCACGGCTCGGCGGTCACCTGCTGCACCTACCTGGCCGACTGTCCCGGCGACCTGGTGCCGGCCCTCTACAGTGTCGGCACCGCCAAACAGAACAGGTCAGCCGAACAGGGCAGGCCGGGCCGGCCAACCGCGCCCGCCGCCCGCCGCCCGCCGCCCGCCGCCCGCCGCCCGCCCTGCACGGCGTCGGCGGCACCAGCCGGACAGGCCGCCGGCCGACAGGCGTCTTGTGTGCGTTTGTGTGATGTGGTCGAAATAGGCGGCCACTGGTCCGGCGCCGTCAGCTGGGTGGCTATCGTCCGTCGCCCGGCGATTTATGGCCCGTTTGTCGCCGCTCAGTTTGTGGCGGTGGCGATCTATGAGATCGCCCGGAGCGTCGCGTCGAATGATGTCGAGTTTGTCTCCGTGGACTGCGGCCTCGGCTTAAGGATGGTCCGTGGCCCAGGGGGTCACCGGGGGTCGGCTAAAAGGACGCACATGGAATCGGTCACCGTGGGCAGGTGACGCACAGGGAGTGAGTTGCCGGGAGTCGGCTCGGGTGATGCGCCGTCTGCAGGCAGACTGCGCGGGCAGCGCCCGCTTAAATCACCCGAGGTCGGTCTTTTTGCGCTCCAGTAAGAAGCGACGGCGCCGGCGTCTCCGCCCGCCCGCTTTCATCATGTCGTCAGTGTTGACTCTGTCGACTTCTTGTGTTTGCCGTCTTTCTCATTAGGTCCTTTCTCCTTCCGCGCGCTGCTCACTCGCACACACACATGCACACCCACGCACGTACGCACGCACGCATACACGTACGCACGCACGCACGCACGCACGCATGCACGCACGCACGCACGCACGCACGCACGCACGCACGCACGCACGCACGCACGCCCCAGAGACGGGCACTGCCACCGGAGCCGGTGCTCGGACCGCGTTTTGTTGGGCGTCGTCGGCCGATAATGACGTGTACTGACGAGCGCGTGTGTCGCGCGCGCGCGCGCGCGCTCCGACCGCGGCGGCATCGATCGGCCTTCCGTTCCGGACCGCTCGGGCCACGTGGCGCCGGGCGGCCGCGCACCTGCCGCGGCCGCCGTCTCCCGGGCGGCAGCGGCTATTTGCAACGCCGGCTGCAGGCGGCACCGACCGACGGCTCCGCTGGCGACAGCCAGCCCGGGCCTGCAGGCGAGGCCGGCGCACTGTGCCCGCCCTTTGTGTCCGCCCCCTGTCTGTGCCTCTGCTGCCCGTGTCCATCCGCCGGAGGACGGGAACTGGGCTCATGTGAGCCCGAGGCTCTCATCAACCGAGACTCTTCTGCCCGAGGCTCTCCTCTGCCGAGACTTTGCCCTACCCCTATCGTATTAGAAGCTCACTTCCCCTATGGTTCGTTGCGTCTCGTCTTGACTCTGTGCACCACTTCTCCTCGGCTCTCTTCCGACAGTTTTTCGGGGCTGCTCGCGTTTCTGGGCCTTTGTGGCCCGGCGCGTTTGTCCGCCGTCTTCCTGGAAGAGGTAATACGACTGCCGCTGACGCTAACAGCGACTAGCCACCTCAGGGACCTGGCTGGCTGATGACCCAGCCGGAGAGCACCACTCCTGGACGGCCATTGTCGTGTGCGGCCGTCATTCCCCACGCGCTCATCAGTGCGACGCTTCCGTCATTGCCGCTTACGTTCGCCTGTCCGGCCTGTCTGCGTATCCATCCTGCGTGCGGCCACCTGTGTCCGGTGTGTCCGGGCTGCGTGTGACCGCCCGTCTCGCGCCACAGTGGCCGGGCCGTCAGCCGCGCACGAGCCTGCCATCGAGCGGCAGCACGCTGTCCGGGCGGGCCGCACGCTCGCACGGGCGGTGGGACCGTCCGGCCGCCCGTGGCGGCGACCGCCGGCCAGCTGTTCTGGTTGGCTGAAGAGTTGGGCCTTTGTGTCGAGTTCTCAGTGTCGAGTTTTCAGGAAACTGAGTTCGGAATAGTGGCTGAAAGTCTGGCCTAATCCCCGGGATATGACCCGCTCAAGCTCCTCCGCCGTCTTGGCTTCATTAGTTTTCGGTCTTTCGCCGGTCGTTGGTAGGTGTTCCAAGTCGCGGTCGCGTCGCGTGAAGGCTTCGTGAGGTTTTGATGCCTCGTTTGGTACGACGTGACGCATACGCGATGATGATGGTACACCCGATCGGTGGCAGACACGGCCGCGCCGCCATGTTGCTGGTGTGCGCGGCTGAATGCCACCGCGCCCGGCTCCGATGACACCGTCTGGCGTGAGGTGACACCGTCTGGCGTGAGGTAACACCGTCTGGCGTGAGGTAACACCGTCTGGCGTGAGGTAACACCGTGTGGCGTGTGGTGACACCGTCTGGCATGAGATGGCACCGTCTGGCGTGATGTAACACTGTCTGGCGTGAAGTAACACCGTCTGGCGTGTGGTGACATCGTCTGGCGTGAGATGACACCGCCTGATGTGAGGTGACACCGTCTGGCGTGAGGGTGACACCGTCTGGCGTGAGGTGACACCGTCTGGCGTGAGATGACATCGCCTGGCGTTAGGTGATGCTGTCTGGTGTCAGCCGAGACGACACCTGTGGCGCCGGGTGCAGTTCAAACAGCGGCCGCGCCGCGCCGCCGCCGGCCGACGGCGCCGCACGGAACTGGCTGGCTCTGATGGCGCAGCTAAGGAGAGTAATCGCCGCTCTGTCGCGATGCCGTGCGCCCGCTCGGCGTTATGAAAAGTTTGACGCGCCGTAAAATGGACGTTCTGCGCCGGCGGGTTATAATTGGGAAAGTGTCCCGGGGGCCGCCAGTCGTAATGGACTAAACGCTTTTGAGCGCGGCCTGCTATGGTGCGTGACATCGCTTTAATTCCTCGCAGCCAACTCGTTCGGGCGGCATCGAAGTTCGACCCAAACGACTGAGGTCTTCTGAGCGGCTCCCCACGGTGGCTGATTTTGATTTGGACAGGAGAGTTCTGTTGAACGCCTGAAGAACTTGAGGCGATCTGGGCTGTGCTATTTCGGGCTTGCAATCGAAAATCCACCGAATAGGAAGGTGCTTTGGCGATCTTATCGCGCTGTTTTTACAAATTGAGATTGCATTCCTTTTTCTCGTTTTTCCCATTCGTACTCATGCTCTTAACACCCAAGTGCCTCATTGCGTTAAAGGGGCCTACCTGCAACTTGCGGAAATAGCAATGTACCCGTATTTCAGCGTCCTTGTCCGCCCTTCTCCCCACGTGACCCAGCAGCAACCCTGACAGTTCTGTAGCAGACCGCCGCTTGGCCTCGACTTCCAGCGCCATGTCGCCTTCCGCTGCATCTGTGGAGGACCGGTCCTCACACGATGTCAGTAGTCGGAATACGGCGTCTTTCAACGCCACCATCTTCTGTTTGAATCAGCGGCTCTTGTCGCCACGCCTGGGTGAGGCCGACATGAGAGCGGGCAGCGACTGAGCTACCGCGTCGCTCCGTTCTGCGCGATTATCTCGATGTCATTCTGCCCCCGTGTCTGCGTGGCCCCGTGAGCAAGTGCTGTCGCCTGTTTTTAATTGCGTCGTTCCGCCGCGTTCTGAAGCTTTACTGGCGCTGAGGGGTGCGCTCCGTAGATTGTGACATTTGCTGGTCGGGTCTTGTTACCATCCGGTGGGAAACACGCTCAGCAGGAGACGGAGGCTGTTGGCGCCCCCCCCCCCCCCCCCCCCGAAACGAGTGGATGGATAGCTCGGGCCGGCCGGCGGCGAAGGCCGAGCCTTGGCCCTACTCTGCTGGCGGCCCGGCCGGAAATGGCCTATTTATGCCGCTAATGACTCCATTACGGGCGCGATCGTTACAAATAGGTGCCGCCCGAGCGGCTAGGGTCTGGAACTGCGTTCCCCTCTGATTAGAACGCCGGCATAAAAGTTCCGCTGTGCCGGTGACTTACGCTAGATATGCTTCCATTGGCCTCGGCTGAGTCCCCTATGTGAGTCGCCCAGGAGCTGTCTGTACTCCCGGTCACCCAGCCGTCTATGCTCTCGATCACCCAGCCGTCCCCACCTCCGGTCACACCGTCGTCCTCACTTCCGGCCGCCCAGTCGTTCTCACTCCTGGCCACCCTGGTGCCCTCACTCCCGACCACCCAGTCGTTCTCATTCCCGGTCACCCTGGTGCCCTCCCGGCCACCCAGTCGTTCTCACTCCTGGCCACCCTGGTGCCCTCACTCCCGGCCACCCAGTCGTTCTCATTCCCGGTCACCCAGCCGTCCTCAATCCTGGTGACTCGGGCGTCTATTTGCATTCGCTCGAGGGGGGGGGGGGGGGGGAGGCGGAGGCGAAATAAATGGTGCCAGCTCCCTGGCCGGCGAGGCCCACGCTCGCCAAACGGAGAAACGGCGAGACGATTTCACTGAGAATCGCCGTGATGAGAACGATGTTTTTCTGGGAGTGGAGGCCGGCTGCGGGCAGAAATCGCCAGCGATTCCCGCTTGATTCGGGTGATCCCGCAGTGGCCAGCGGCCTGAAGCGTGGACGATGCCGTTTTTCCAGCGTCGATGTTCCGTGCTTCGGTCCGCACGGCGCCAGCGGGCTGGCGGGCTGTGAACCGCGCATCCACTCCTTGTTGAAAACGTTCGGAACCTACTTACAGCAAACGTGGCGTCCATCGTCCCAGAGCTACTCCCTCAGTACCCCGACATATTCTGTTGGCTGCAAACACGTCCATATATTTTTCTGAAACTCCGTCTAATGGTATTTTGTCACCTGTTCTTTCGGCCACACTGCCGTTCTGCTGAATTGCACGTTCAAATGCATATTCTTCAGTAGCCGAGATCTTACGCATCATCATCCGCTATTTTGAAGGATCATGTTCCTGTTGCAAAGAGCGTGACTGAAGGTCAGCTGCGCGTGTCGCTGGTCCCCCTGCTTAAGACCATCGAATAGCCACCGCCTTCGCACTCAGCTGTGACGGGTGTTCGCGGACCGTGGAGCGCCCGGTGCCAGGACCGGGAGAGGCGTCTCCGCTTCAGTGTCCGATGATCAACCGCTAAGGGATTGGGTCTAGCTGAGGAGGTCTGCAGTCTTACCTTTTTTGGGGACAGTCGACAATTATTTTGCTGAGAACCGTTGTTGCGATCCGACAGATCCGGCAGATCCAAACGCCTGAAATATTGGCATGTTTGCGCCTGATCTTTGTCCTCAACGCTATGGCGTACAACGCGGACAAAAATGAACTGGTGCTTGTCCTCCAGAGGGCCCGTGCTAGAGCCACCACTCGTGCTAGAGCCTACACCTCAATAATGCCGTGTTGGTGGCAGATGAAACATTCTGCCAAGGCTATAGAAGCAATCAACACTTCATTCTGCCACGTGCAATTGGAGACCGCAAGATCCGCACTGGAAATCTCCGTGGTGCTGGGACCAGACCGTAGCAGCATGACTAAAATGCAGATAAGCTAGTAAGCGAAGAACGAAGTTTTGACACTGCTATTACTCTTGAGCTGTTATTTAAATCTTGAAGTGTTCTTGCCACTTGGCCAATTGCAGTTAATGGATAGACAAAACTGTGCCCATGTCACAGACATGAACCACTTTTCCGCAAGGTCGTGATACTTAGCTGTATAATTAAAGCAAAAGTGATGTCGCCTATATGTCATGGCTTGTATCACCACGGTCAGTAAAATGCCCAGAACATGTGATCATTGTGAAGACCGAGAGGATTTCCGGCATCCATAATGGTGAAGTCAGTGATAAAAATGCTATGAAATGGCATTACTGATCGCTGCTGATTACTACACTGAGTAAAGATTGTTCATGCGAAGCTGGATGGAACTGAGAAATTGATGAGATTCCTCAGTGGAGCGAGGTAACCAACCACTGAACTGCGAGCACATACGAAACAAAACATCGAGTCGAGGTTTCCTCATTGTGGCATATAATTCCTTCAACTAGCAAAATTCTCACAATGTATCATTTGCTGAAACAATCAACACCCTAATGCAAGAATGCTTATGAAACGACGTCACATCTAATGGTGAACTGTCCAGCCATTGACCGGGATCCCAGTGCTTTCCAAAGAGACAGTTGGGAACATCTGGCGGCCAAACTTATGCATACCAGAACTTTTTTGGGATTTGTACCGACAGAAATTATGTTCTCACCTTGTCTTGGTCGCTATGCAAAACCTTTATTTGCAAACAAAGTAAGCGTGAAGGCGACCCGACCGTGGCCTTATTTTTGTTGCATGTGTGTCTGTCCGAGAGTACAACCGTGGGCTTATGCTGCGAATGGAAGGTCCGACCGGCTCGTGGTATTGCGGAGCACCACAGAAAAGATGAGAGCGTTGGGGGCGAATTGAGTTATGACAGCTCATGAATCATGTGCTGTTCGTTTTGCTTGTGTTTGAGAAATAAGCATCTGAAAAAGGTCATCATCATCTTGAAGAGTCATCATCTACACTTCGCAACATTATTGCGCAGATAATGTACAGCTCCTCGCAAAAGGGCACCCAAAAGGTCAGTTGGGCTTTTCGCTGCTTTCATGTATATATATATATATATATATATATATATATATATATATATATATATATATATATAATATGCGCTGCACTCGACAACATTTTTTCCACATGCCCAAGTTACTAGTTCTAGCCTTGTTGTAGAGGCTGGGATTAGAACAGCAGGAAATGCCGTCTTACCCTAGCACGTACATATGTTTTCCTTGTTTCCCGCAAAATGTGTCGTTTTGAGCCTCTAAGCGTGCTCGATAAAGTACGTACTGGCGAGGTGCGCGGTGCCCTCCAGTCGGAAATTGCACGCACCCTTGACTAGCCGATGCGGTACGGCTTCTGCGCGGTCCAGCCAAGCGCGACCTACCAATGAGAGCGGACAGCAGCCTTGTCGGGAAATATCAGGGCTTATTTTAACATCTGAAGCGCACTGTGTTGAAAAACCACGGCTTTGGGCTACACGTGACAGACTATGAGGACCTAACAGACACAATAGTTGCATTTCCAATATTGTTTGGGCGTGCAAATGCCTTACATGGTAGCCTAGATGCCAAGGCGAACAGACCCAGCGGGTTTTAGTCATTTGTAGCAGGCTTTTGAATAGGTATTTGAAGAAATAGCCGTTGGTGGATCCAGCAGAAAACGGTGGGGCTTGGCCCGAATGGTCAGTAGTTTGGGATGCGCGGCGGCAGACATTAAATTAAAGGCATGCGTTGAGACGAGCAGTGTGTTGGGTGATCCTATGCGCTTGGCGGCATGGACACGCTAAAAAAGATGCTGCCGCCTGATGTATCAGCCACTGACTGAAGATATGAAGCATGACACCAAATTGACAATGCTATAGCAGCAAAGCTAGTCAAGCAGCCTGTGAGAGGAAAACGCTTCCAATTAGAAATTTAAGAAGAAAAACAGCAGACGTTTGAATGAAGTGCGTATTTGGAATCGCTAAAGACTGAGATGATGGATGGAGAGCTGCGTGTTCGCTGTACGTACATTGCGGCCTTGTGCGTCCACCCTGTCCCGTCCCTCGGTCGGAGCACAGCGCTGCTGCCTGGCTCGCACGCCGCGGCTGGGCACCATGGCTGCCCCGCATCTCCCGGGCCGAGAGTGCCCCGGGCAGTGCGGCCGCACGCGCCGTCGGCCATGACGCTGCTGGCTTCCGCGGCTCATCTCCTGTGTGGTGCTGCATCGATCGGCGCGTACGCACTATTGCCAGGCGGCGGCGGCGGCGGCGGCGCCTCGTCACGCTGTCTTCAGTGTCGACGAAATTGCCGTCGGCGGCAGCCCGTCATCGGCACGCGCCGCCGCCGGCTCATGTCGGGCTGTGCTGAGCGCGGCTCGCCTGCGGCGCGGGACGAGCCCGTGGCGACGGCAGCCACCCGGCGCCGGGGCGCGGCCTCGCGCCGCCGCCGCCGAGAGCGCCTGTCAATAGGGATCGGCTGATGCGCGAGCGATGGGCAGGGACGCTGCCGACGCGGCGCGCCGTTAATGGAGGGTTGGTGGGCCCGGTCTGAACGTAGCGCGGTGGCCGGCGCGCTGTAACGCGCCTTGGACGGGTCGGAGAAGCCGGGAACCGTCGGCTGTCTCGGCAAAGCCGGGAGCCTGCGGACGTCTTTGGGGAGGCTGAGGAGCATGTGCACGCCCCGGGGAGGCCGGGAAGTCTGGAGGGGCCGGTCCGGTGCGGTCCGCTCGGCTGTGCAGGCGCCGGCGGTCCTGTCGCCGGGACCGTGCGCGGACGGTCGGCGGTGGCGTCCGTGCGTGGCGGCGCCTGGCGCTCCAAAGTGCCGCTGTCGGCAGCGCACCACTCACGGCTGTAATCGGATCGGCCCGCCGCCGCCGCTGCCGCCGCCGGCTATCTCTCGCTGCCCTGCCGGTGTGGTGATGGTGTCGGCTGCCCAGCTGCCGGGAGGCGGGAGTGGCGCCGCCGCTGGCCGTCTCTCGCTGCCCTGCCTGGGTGGTGGTGGTGTCGGCTCCGCAGCTGCGGGGAGGCGGGGGAGCGACGCCGCCGCTGGCCTTCCCTGTTCTGTCGGAGTGGTGGTGGTGTCGGCTCCCCAGCTGCGGGGAGGCGGGGGAGCGACGCCGCCGTTGGCCCACTCTCCCTGTTCTGTCGGAGTGGTGATGGTGTCGGCTCCCCAGCTGCGGAGAGGCGGGGGAGCGACGCCGCCGTTGGCCCACTCTCCCTGTTCTGTCGGAGTGGTGATGGTGTCGGCTCCCCAGCTGCGAGGGAAGCGGCGCGGCCACGTGGCGGCCGGACCCCGCGCCGCAATAGGAAGGGCTCACGGCCTGGGCTGGGCTGATTGGTCCGCGCCGGACTATTGACTGCGTTCGGTGGCGTCCTTCAGAGTGGAGTCCCGATAAAGCTAGGAGCTGTGCTATGTGATTTTTATACCTCATTTAGCATCCCACACCTGAGGTGGTAGCGCTCAGCAGTACGGCCAGAACCTAGACTAGACGGGCCGCAGAAGTTTGTGATCTTGAAAACCCGGTTGGTGTAGTATTAGTCGTTTAACGAAGTTCTGCGGCGCGAAATGTTGCTAAGCATTGTTAAAACGTCTTCGAAAATCCTCTGATATTAAGGTCTTGGTCGACCTTTAATGCACTGATGGTTTCACATATGCTTCGTTGAGAAAACAAACCACGGAAATGGTGGCCCAATTCTCGTAGAGTCGTAAATGCTCGTGTCCAAATTCTCGAAGCGATCGGAACGCTCTCAAACGCATCACATTGCTCCCAGTGGGAATGATGTGCCTGGTTATCGACGTGTCGTCGCCCCTGCCACAGGACCGGCTTCAGTGAGAAGGAGTGGCCGATCACGGGAGGCAGCTGGGGCACCGGAGGCAACAGCTACCCGGAGATCGTCATCACCGGGTAGGCGTGTCGGCCGGGCGTCTCCAGCCCGCCCGGCGTCCTCGTGGGACCGACTTGTCACGTGACTCTTGCTAGTGACCGACGGCTCTCTTGCTATCCGGATCTCGACTGATCGATGCCCTAGCGTTTCTGACGCTGGATCTAAACGGCCATTTGGGCTCGTTATCGGAGCTCCGAAAGACGTCAGAACATACGCCCCACTTTTGCTCAAACCCGGCTTATATGCTGCTCACATGCTGCGTGATGAGGCGCTGTGGCCGGTTTGGTGGTCTGCTGACCTGTGTGTGAATGCTGTTTGTGGGCGTACGTCAGCGTGCGCCGGCGCCGCACGGGGGCAGCGGAGGGGTTGGCCGTGGTCAGGAAAGCGCGGCCCAGCTGGGTGCTGATAGTGTAGTGGTTAACGCGTCGGCGTTAACCACTGCGCGTCTGGGAAACCAGAAGTACTGGGTTCGATTCCCCACGGTGCCAGACCTTCCCGCCAGGGTGAGAGGCAGGCGACGCCATATAGCCTCAGCAGCTGAGTGCGTGGTAAAGCCCCAGTGACACATAAACACACACAGAACGCGGCCCGGGGTCGGGAGGACGCGACCCAGGGTCTCACGCCCAGGCTCGCGCCGCTCGCCGCCAGGCACGCCGACGGCAGCGTCAAGTTCTGGGATGCGACAGCCGTCACCCTGCAGGTGCTCTACAAACTGAAGACATCCCGCGTTCTGGAGAAGCAGCGCCGCTCCCAGGTACGACACAGACCGCAGGTGGAGCTCCGCCCGCGGCTGCGGTGCGGTCGCTTGTACGTGCGACACGGCTCGCAGGTACGGAACCGCCCGCGGACCCGCTCGCAGGCAGGGCGCGGCTCCGCAGGTATGGCTGCGTAGGCAGGTGCAACACGGTTGTCAGGTGTGGCAGTGCGTGTGTTGTTTTCTCCCTGGCATGCTACAGCCTCCGACGTTTTCAGACTTGCTGATTGCATTGTTATTTTGCTCAGACCGACTGCGGCGTCTCCACCTGCTCCGCGAACTTACCTCATTAGATAAACTAACCGGGAAATGGAATTTGACCCATGTGTAGTCATATTGTCGGCGTCCTTTGTGGTGCAATATAAATTGAAGCTGTTGCTGGGAAGCACAAAGACACGGCAACTGTCGCTGTGGCTTCTGAGTGAACTCGTCTTTGTTTATTCATGTGAAGCGCTGTCGTCCATGATGCAAAGTGGTGCCTGCGTTGTTGTAAGGAAACACCGGCGTTTCATTGCGTTCGTGGCCTCTCCCGTGTTCGGAATGTGCTGCAATGCGATTGTGAGGGCTGTTGCAGCGGGACGGCTGTCGCTGTTCGGTGGTGGCGCCCGTCACATTTAGAGAGTAACCACTAGCACCCGGTGCTGACGAGCGCGGTCGGCGGTCTCCCGCGTCTCGGGCGGTTCTGACCCGTGTGCTGACGCCCAGCCTCGCTGCGCCGCAGGACGGCGAGGCCGAGGACCAGCTGGCCGTGCAGCAGGTGGTCATCTGCCCCGAGAGCCGGCAGCTGGCCGTGGCCGGCGCCTCCTCCTACGTCATCCACTTCCGCTTCAGCAAGCACGAGAAAACATCCGAAATCCCGGTTAGTTGGGCTTCGAGCAGACGCCCGGATGTACCGCCTCTCGTCACTTGGTCAATGCATGCACTGATCGGCGTGTGTTGAGTCTGTTTTTCCACATGGGTGGCAACCGTGTTTGATAAAATTGTGAATGGTACTTTTGCTTCACCGGTGCGTGTCGTACGCTTTTAACAGTGAAAGCACTTGACGTACTGGAATGGGGCAGGTACCTGGCCAAAGACTTAGCCCCTGTCCACATCTACATCTGACATCCCCGCCCGTTCGCTATGCACGTACAGCGCCAGTGTCGATGACCTGGCCAAAGACTTAACCCCTGTCCACATCCATATCTGACGTCCCGCCCGTTCGCTATGCACGTACAGCGCCAGTGTCGATGACCTGACCAAAGACTTAACCCCTGTCCACATCCATATCTGACATCCCCGCCCGTTCGCTATGTACGTACAGCGCCAGTGTCGATGGTGACGCGCTGACGGCGAGGCGCGCGCTCTCGTGTGACGCCGCCGCCGCTCGTGCCGCCAGTGTCTGGAGATTCCGATCGTGTACGAGGCGTACGGCGATCCGGACCGGGCCTCGCCGGACGGCGAGACCTCGTCCACGCTGCGACCCGCCAACTCCATCATCGGTGACAACGGCAGAAAGGTGCGGCGGCGGCCGACCGGCGCGCTGCTGTCGTCCGCCCTCCCGAGCTGTCCGGTGTTCTCACGCGAGAACTGTCTCACTCAGCTGGGCATTACTCTGCCGCGCTCGCTCACTCTTCCCTGCTGTTTCACTCTGTTGTCGCCATTGTTGCTCGCCCACTGTCGCGAACTCGCACACTCCCGCCTACTCCTGAGCTTCCACACCATTTTGCTCCCTGCCTCTGATATAACCCTCCCCACTCACGTCCGTGCTGATCCTCTCTCGACACGCTTCACTTGCACGTGCGTGCTGAGCTGACCTTGTTTGGGTGACCTGTGTGACCCACGTGACCTGTGACGGGGCCAGGCGGAGCTGACGCTGCCGGTGCGGTGTCGGACGGGGCCGGTGCGCCGGGGGCCCGGCTACCAGGCCGAGCTGGTCTGCGTCACGCCGTCGGTCAACGGCGAGCCGCCCGGCGCCATCAGCAGTCTCGCCATCAACTCCGCCTACGGCCTGTGAGTGCCACTGCGACTCGCCCGGCCGATGTGATGACCGCAACTTCGCCGGGGCCGACACGCCTTTGTACACCTTGAACTCTTGCTGTAGCCTGCCGGTACGCCGTTAACTCGGGATTGCTGCGAGTTTTGAGTTCTCAATTTGCCTTGTCGATGGCGTGCAGATCAACGGGCAATATTTGTGCGAGTGCACCAGGCCTCGTCACACCCGTGAGCCAGACAGCCGGGCGCTGCGCCGGCTGAGCGACCGCCTGACACGCCTGGCGGGGCCGGCGCGTGCTGACGCCGGCTGGCTGGCGGCCGCAGGATGGCTTACGGCAACGAGAGTGGCCTGGTGATCGTCGACACGATGCAGCGGACCTGCCTGCTGAACCTGGGCACGCCGGACCTGTACGGGCCGGCCGACCCGTACCAGCGCGCGCCACGCTCGCCCAAGCAGCGCGCCGACGAGGACCTGGGCCTGTCGCCGGACTCCGAGCAGGTCAGCCGGCGGGCGGCGAGGTCCGGTCCCGCGCTGCCGCCCCCCGGGCGCCTTCATCCGCGCGGCCCAGCCGTGACGCTGATGCAGTGACGCGCTCGCCGCTCAGAAATAGCTAACGGGCGCGCAGCGGCTCATCCCGGCTGCGTTTTATGGGCGGCTGGCTCTGCGGGCCGGACGGCGGCACGTGTGTAAAAGTCGGGCTTTACGTCCGGCGGGCCGGCTGCCCAGTGGGTCGGCGCGGTGACGGGCCGTTTCGCGAGCGCCGCCGCCCAGCCGCCTACATTTGGGAGCGGCCCGGCCCGGCGCCCGGCGGTGGGGGCGTGTCGGCTCCCGCGGGCCCGCCAGCAGCAGCCGCCGCCCGGCGGATTAGTTATACTGGTGACGGAGATGCGCCGCCGCTTGGACAGAAAGCGCCGTCGTCCGCCGTCAACTGAAAATAGGGTGCCGGCGAGTAGGTGTTTGCTTTAAACTCCCATTCGCTTGACATTAAGACTCGTTTTCCGCACCGTTGTCCACCTGATAAATGGCGGACGCGCGCTAGGCTGGCCCTGCCGTGCTGGTCGCTGCTCGCTGCTCGCTGCTCGGCCTGCGCTCACTGCTCCAGGCGGCGGCGGGGCGGCCACTCTGTTCCAGCCCACAAAAGCGCAGCCTGTGTGTCTGGCGGTCCGGCCCCCTGGGAGCGCGCTGTGGGGGCGGGGGCCGGGGCGTGGGCCGATTTACGGTGGCAGGCTGAATTATCCAGGCAGCCCCGGTGCCGGCGAACGGCATCGTCAATAGGTCTCCATAAATACGGAATGTTGGCCAACGTCGCTGCCAAACTGCAGCCATGTCGACAGACGGAGACCAATGCCTGATGGACTGGCTGCGCTGGTCGGCCGGCACCCGATCATGTCGGGGCTAGACTGGTGGCGGGGCTCGTCTGCCGATAGCGGAATGGGATGAGAAGGTCTAGATTATGGCTCTATTTTCACATCGACAACGAACGATCGCCACCTGCTCAAAACATGTCTGGCAGCTGGTTAGAAAGGAAGGCATGTGGAAGCTACATTTTGGCAAGGGCGTGGTGTGTGGGAGCGGGGTTGTCCCGGTGGCCGCGCGGACCTGGCCGGTCGGCAGACGGGCGGCTCTGGCTGGCGCCGCCCGAAACGCTCCGTCACGTCGCTCGCGAACAGGTCGGGCCGGTGAGACGCGGGCTGTGTCTGTGTGAACGGCGGACCCCTGTCGCTGGGTGCGCCCGGGGAGCCTGTGGTCCTTGGCGCCGGCAGCAGCCGGCGGCGGGCGGCGGTGACTTCACGCAGCGCGGAGTGCGCCGGTGGTACCGTGCTGTGATTCCGTCTCCTGTGTGGCTGGGGTGCAGTCGTCGCGCGGCAATCACGGACATAGCGCGGTCTGCTGTCAACTGTTATCATCTCTCCCCGGTGTAGTACGGCGGGGCACCTCATTGACATTGTCTCACTTGCATCTAATGTTCTACCAATGCGAACAAATGCATTGCGTTGAAATGTCGCGGACTTTGGACTGAAGCCCCACATTGGCCGTCTCTTGGGTGTTGAATGTTTCATTGAGCCTGGCGCGTATAGTGCGATTGCTCAAGTGGTCCTGGGCGAACTAAAATGAAGTTTTATAGGATCTCTGGTGGGCGGGTGTGACGTGCTTGTCGCGTTGGTCCCCGTCGCTCTGGCCGAGGCCCATTACACGTAGCAAAACGCCGGTGTGATATTGGCGTGTGTTTGTCAACTGCTGTGACGTACTGTGATTTCGCCGCCTGCTGTCAGTGACACCTATTACTGTTCGTTGTGAGCTGTGCGATGTGGACACGGTCAGTTACAGCCAGCACCAATGTCACCACGGCGCGTGATACAGCCAATACCAATGCCACCACGGTGCGTGACGTGGGGTGTGCTGGCAGCGCCCCGCCGCGTGATGCCGCCTGCCGTGTGGTCCGGTGCGCCACGTGACGCCGCCTGGCTTCCGGCAGATAAACGGGCTGTGCCTGTCGCCGACGGGCGGGAAGCAGCCGGGCGGCGGCAGCGTGTCGCCGCGGCCGCCGGACGCCCGCCGCTCCCGCTCGCAAGGTACCGCTCGCCGCCTGGTCAAGGCGCACAGTGTGATGGAGGAGCCGGCGCCGCCGCCGGCCGCCGGCGCCGGCCCTACGCTGCGGCTGCGGCGCGCCCGACAGTGCAAGAGTTTCGGTACAGCAGGCCTCGGCCGCCCCCACTGGACGTGTGGCTGTGTGCCGACCCTGGCACGTGGGCGCGGCGGCGCCCCGCCTGTCGTGGCTGCCCCTCACCCTGACGCCCGCTCGCTGTGTCCGGCGGTAGCGCCAGTCGCGTGTAGCCGTGTACCCTGTCACTGGCTGTTGTGGCGCCTCCGGCCGGCCCGCTCGCCTTGTCCCTCTCAGCTGTACATATCGATGTGGGCGGGCCCCGGCTCGCCAGTCGCGCCGGAGCTGCCCCGGTCAGCAGGTCGCCACCGCGGCGCCGGCAGCACACCGGCGCCGGCCGAGGAGCCGCCGGCCGCACGCCGCTCGATGTCCCACGGCGCGGACCGGGCCGGGGCGGGCGGCGCGCCGCCGCAGTCCGCCCGGCTCGCACTTGGTGTGCTGTCGCACCTAGCTGTACGCTCGTGGTGGGGGGCAGAACAGGCGTCGGCCACTGCCGAGTAGGGAGCGGCTTCGCGGGCGAGGAGGCAGGTGACCCGTCGCCGCTGACATGGAAGCGGATCGGCCCCGCCCTGGCTCGTCTGTACCCGGCCAATCGTGTCGTCACACGGCAGCCGCGTCCCTGTGGGAACGCCCGTCACGTCCCGTGCGACCTTCAGCCATGTCTGCCGTGTGACACAGCGGTGTGCGGATGCCGCGCCGCCGCCAGCCGGACCGGCGGCGTCCGCCCGGCCGGGCCCGGCCGCGTCGCTCGCCCGTTCGGCCGATGGATCACCGACCGACCGGAATCCAGATGGGGCCCGTTGCAGAGTCGTGTGCATCGGCCGCGCAGCTCTGCCTGGCCAATTCATGGCTGGGCCCGGGGCGATGTGGAACGCACGCGCGGCCCGGCGGCCAACTGGCGTCCCAGCGGCGCCGTTTCGGTCGGCGGTCTCACCTTTTGACCGCCGCTGGGGGCGGTATTGATTGGCCGGCGTCAGGCGGGACCGGTTCACGGCGCGTTAGACAAGCTGGCTCATGGAATGACAGACGAGCGGACCGGGTGTGTCGCAGACGGCTCCAGCAGCGCCGGGAGGGTGTGTGGTAGACGAGTTCAGCAGCGCCGGGAGGGTGTGTGGTAGACGAGTTCAGCAGCGCCGGGAGGGTGTGTGGAAGACGAGTTCAGCAGCGCCGGGAGGGTGTGTGGCAAACGAGTTCAGCAGCGCCAGGAGGGTGTGTGGCAGGCGACTCCGGCAGCGCCGGGCGGGTGTGTGGCAGACGGCTCCAGCAGCACCGGGAGGGTGTGTGGCAGACGGCTCCGGCAGCGCCGGGAGGGTATGTGGCAGACGGCTCCAGCAGCGCCGGGAGGGTGTGTGGCAGACGGCTCCAGCAGCGCCGGGAGGGTGTGTGGCAGACGGCTCCGGCAGCGCCGGGAGTGTGTGTCGCAGACGGCTCCAGCAGCGCCGGGAGGGTGTGTGGCAGACGGCTCCAGCAGCGCCGGGAGGGTGTGTGGCAGGCGGCTCCGGCAGCGCCGGGAGGGTGTGTGGCAGACGGCTCCGGCAGCGCCGGGAGGGTGTGTGGCGGACGGCTCCAGCAGCGCCGGGAGGGTGTGTGGCAGACGGCTCCGGCAGCACCGGGAGGGTGTGTGGCGGACGGCTCCAGCAGCGCCGGGAGGGTGTGTGGCAGACGGCTCCGGCAGCGCCGGGAGGGTGTGTGGCAGACGGCTCCGGCAGCGCCGGGAGGGTGTGTGGCGGACGGCTCCAGCAGCGCCGGGAGGGTGTGTGGCAGACGGCTCCGGCAGCACCGGGAGGGTGTGTGGCGGACGGCTCCAGCAGCGCCGGGAGGGTGTGTGGCAGACGGCTCCGGCAGCGCCGGGAGGGTGTGTGGCAGACGGCTCCGGCAGCGCCGGGAGGGTGTGTGGCAGACGGCTCCAGCAGCGCCGGGAGGGTGTGTGGCGGACGGCTCCGGCAGCGCCGGGAGGGTGTGTGGCGGACGGCTCCAGCAGCGCCGGGAGGGTGTGTGGCAGACGGCTCCGGCAGCGCCGGGAGGGTGTGTGGCAGACGGCTCCGGCAGCGCCGGGAGGGTGTGTGGCAGACGGCTCCAGCAGCGCCGGGAGGGTGTGTGGCAGACGGCTCCGGCAGCGCCGGGGGCGCCGGTCCTCAGGACGTCCGGTCGAGCTGGCCGCCATCGGACGGCCGGTGGGAACGGCTCATGGCTGTCCAGACGAGATGGGGTGTTTGATGGAGCGCCGCGTGGAATGGGTCGAGAAGTGGATCTGGACAGCCGCTCGCTGATCGCACCTTACGATCAGCTGGGCCGGCCGCCGCCAATCTCGCCGTCTCCACGGCGGCGAGCAGTCCCGGCGACCGAGACCGAGTGGTCCGTCTGATGGGGCCAGTGTCCCCGCTCGACCGCCCAGCCGTTGGCTTGATTGGGCTATTGATGCGGGCCGACGACGAGACAGCCGGCCGCTGGCCGCACGACCCGGCACCAGACGCATGGGCCAGCTCGAGACAGCCGGCCGCTGGCCTCACAGCCCGGCACCAGACGCGTGGGTCAGCTCGAGACCGCCGGCCGCTGCCGAAAATGACCGACGCCGCCGGAATGACGACGGCTCGAGCCGGACCGGCGGGGACGAGCGACCGACCTGCGGCCCCCAGCATGGCCGCCCGCGGCGGCAGCGGCGGCGGCAGCGGCAGCAGCAGCCCCGCCGCTTCCAGTGTCCCGGCGTCGGACGGCGTGGACGCCGGCGTGCGGCCGACCCCGCGCCGGCGCCGCCCGGCCGTCGCTCACTGTCGCCTGGCCGGCCTGCAGCGGCGCGGTGTTCTAGTGTCACCGCTGTACATACGGTGTGGCGCCACCGCCGGGCGCTCTCCCGGTGTTTAGCTGCACTACCATCGCTGTTCTCCGTAGGGATCGCGTGTGCTGTACAGTCGCCTGACTCTTGTTTGGCACAGTGTCAATTTAGATCAGTTGGGCCGCCCAGCAATCTCATCCGGCGGGCTCGATATAACGCCCCAAGCCGTCTGCAGGCATCGGCAGCCTGGTCAATACCTCTTCTGAGTCTCCTCAGCTATAGCCACCTTCTCAGGCTGTCATGCCGCCCCGTGAAGCATGCAATCTAGACCGTCAGTGTCGGGCGCATCTGTGCGTGCGTGGGTGCGTGCTGTGTTCGTCAGCGCAAGTGTCTGGCTGCCCGTGCATGGGTGCGCGTTGTGTGTGACGCTGGGTGCTGTGGGCGGACAGAGCGCCTGGACAGCCAGCAGAACGCGTCACGCAGCAGCAGCCTCAGCAGCCTGGAGAATGTCACCTCCGAGGCCATTGTCTGCCTGCAGTTCGCCGACACGTACACCAATAAATCCGGTACGGTGCCGCCGCCGCCGCCGCCGCCGCCTCATGGCCGGCCCAGCGTGTGACGCAAGGGTGTGCTGTTCGGATGCGAAGCTCGGCGCGCGCGTGTGTGTGGGGTGGGGGTGTGTGGGTGTGGGTGCGTGCGTGTGTGGGTGCATGCGTGCGTGCGTGCGTGCGTGCGTGCGTGCGTGCGTGCGTGCGTGCGTGCGTCGTGCTCGTAATAGTTCACCAGCAGAACACGCCTCCCGACCCGAACGGAAGCAGTTTGTTGACCTGTGTATATCATGTTGAGCATGTACGCCGTCCGCGTCTGCCACGTGTAAAGCTGTCACGCCGCGTTCGCGGCCATCTGATGTACCCTTGGCCATCGTCGGCTGCGGGTGGGCAGAAGGGGCAGTACGATTCGCCGAGAGCAGCGGCGGTGGCCGTGGGGTTCGCCGGTAGGCCGGCCTGCGGGCTCCGGGTCACCCGGTGACCGGCGGCTGCCTCCTCCGTGTGACAGAATCTTCCACGCTGCCGAGCCTGCTGGTGGGCACCTCTCTCGGCAGCACCCTGATTGTGCAGGTGGCGATCCCACGCAGCGGCGATCGGCTCACGCAGGGCGTCAGTGTCGCGCCGACAGGTCAGTGCCGCCCCGACAGACTAGTGTCCCTCCACGGCAGATCGTCAACACCCCCCACCCCCCAGACGCGTCACTGTTGCCCCAGTGGGTCAGTTACCCCGGGACCGCACGACAGGTCTGTGGCCTCCGGCCAACCGTTGTCGCCCTTTCCATAGATCTTGATTGTCGCGTCCCCCCCCCCCCCCTCTCCTCTCCCCCCGACAGGTCTGGGCCATCACAACGAGTTGTCGCGTCCGCGACATATCTTTTTCGCCCCGACTTGTCAATGTCCCTGACACATCGTGTCACCTCCCCCAAGATCGGTAAGCCCCCCCCCCCCCAACGCCTGGTGACATTGTCTGCCAGCACAGGCCCTTCAGGTGTACGCAGGACAGGTCTACGAGTCCCCAAGGGACCAATCTCCAAATGGCCTACGAGCATGACTTTCAGGACAGTGCTCACTATCAAAGAGCCGAATAAATCTTGTCGGCTCTAAAAGCCGCGCAGGCCGGCTGGCTTTCCATGTGTAAAGTGACGCACTGTTAGCGGTGCTGTCTGGTGCGCCTGTGATAGTCACACGTTGTCAGCCCGCCGGCCCGCTGCCGCCGTCGCTAACGTCCAACCAGCACACGCATCAAAGACACGAGCGCGCTCAGCCTGGTCGGGTCGCGCCGCCCCAGCCATGGGTCGTCAGCAGAGCGCCGGCGGGGCGGTGCCGTTCGTTTCCCGGCTGCCAGCCAGGGCGCTCTACGGGCCGGCGCCGTCGCCAGTTCATACCTCGTCGCATCCGACTCGCACCCGTACGATAATGACGGCGGTGTGTGGTGTGACGCACGCCGGCGCGGTTGCAGGTTCCATTTTCCGGTTGAGTGGTGTTATGCAGTGCATCGGCCTGCTGGACAGCAGCGGAGCTCGGCTACAGGCGGCCTTCGAGCCGTGGCGGGACGGCGGCAAGGAGCGGACTCGTGAGTACTGAGCCTGCCGGGCCCCGCCGCCGGTGGCGCGCAGCCAGCGCTCGGCTCACGGGCCGGACGGGCCGCGCCTCGTAATACATCAAGCGCAGTCGCACGACAGCGGGCGCTGTGCAGACGAGCAGCGACAGCAGCGCAAAATCTCGATGGTAATCACCGGCAGCGTAATGGGGTAAACCAATAGACCGTGCCGGCATGCTGCAGAGCCTATAAAACATTATGACATGCTTTGCCAAACCAGTCTCCATTAGACTGTGACGCCCTGCGCCGGCCAGACCACCGGCTGGCGAGGTCCTGAGCACGTCTGGGAGGGGGAGGGGCTCCTAAGCCAACCGCGTGGTGACCACCTGGAGCTCATCATTCCAGCTGTGCCACCGCTGTGCTACCAGGCAGCTCTTTCCTCTAGCACACCATGTCAGTGCATAATATGTAGGGGCCAGAGTATTTACGTTGGGCGTACCAGGGGCATTTAAACGGGCGTGGAGACCCGACTAAAGCCACGACTGCGACAATGTTCAGGTACCTTAGTATGGACGTCATAATGCAGTAAGGTCGGGGATGCATTGTTGGGCCTTGGTAACGAGGGCCAGTTGTAGTTAGTCTAGAGAGTCAAGGCGCCCTCCCGAGCCGCGTCCGATTCCGCCCGACCCCGCCCGACCCCGTCCGATTCCGGCCGGCCCCGCCCGACCGCGTCCGATTCCGTCCGACCTCGCCAGGGCCGCGTCCGATCCCGCCCGACTCCGCCCGACCCCGCCCCCACCTGACTCCGCCCGAGCCGCGTCCGATCCCACCCGACCCCGCCCAAGACGGGTCCGATCCCGCCCGACCCCGCCCGAGCCGGGTCCGATCCCGCCTGACTCCGCCTGAGCCGGGTCCGATCCCGCCCGACCCCGCCCGAGCCGGGTCCGATCCGGAGTCTCGTTCCCACCCGACCCGATCCGGCGCCGTCTCCAAGGCTAGATATGTTGTCCACCCAATGTAAAGCCGGCGGCGCTGGCGGCCCTAATTCACGGCTGTCCCGTGGAGCGAGCGTCGCCGGGCGGCGCCGTTTCTTCACATGTGTCCGAGCTAATGCCGGACGATGGACGGCATCGCCGCGAGCGATCTGGGGGGCGGGGGGGGGGGAGGGGGCGGGTCTGCTGAGCGTGGGGTGTCGGCTCCGCGTCCGCCGAGACCGCGCCCGCGCCGCCTGACCGCTCCCCCGCCGGCGCCGCAGGCACGCCGTCACGGCCGACGGTGAGCTCGTCCGGCTCGATCAGCGAGGTGGGCGACGGCCAGCTGCTCGTGCTCGTCTCGGACAAGCAGGCGCGCGTGCTGGCCACGCCGGCGCACAGCTGCCTCTGCAAGCTGCAGATCACCGACACATCATTCGTGGTCCGCGCTGACATCGTCTCTCTGAAAGGTCGGCGGCGCGCGGCCGCTCCCTCGCCGGCGCCCGCTCCGCGCTGGGGCCGCCCGCTCAGTGGGCCCGATTTAGCGCGCCTCTGCCGCCGACGGCCTTCAGCGCAATCACTTTGAGTGCTTGCCTTTGAATTATATGTCCGTGGGGGTCGCTGAATGGTGGCATCCACGCGGGAAGGAGGGCCATCTGTGGGTCAAGTGGGTGTGGTTACATGTTGTATGGCTCGAACGCCCCCTTGGGTGTAATCTTGACATCTACAGCTGCTTAGATTTAGGGCAGCAATAGGAGCTCAATACTAATAGTGTTTGCTTGCGTTGCCAGCGGCGCGCTGCCTGTTTGTATGCCAAACGGTGACATCAATCCCAGATCCTTTGAACAATTATTATTAGATTGGAATTCGGAGACATAAGCATGCTGAAGCGGGCCCCATTTGCAAGGCATGGCGCCCTGATATTCCTCGCATCAGGGCCAGCGCCCATCATAAGCAGCCGGCCGCGGTGTGTTTGACGGGGACTCGGCGGCGCGACCATCGACGGCGCCTTCTCGTCGACAGACAGCGTATGTCTGGTCTGCTATCTGGCCAACGGCCGTCTCAACACGTACAGCCTGCCCAGCCTGCGGCCCCTGCTCGAGGTCGACTTCCTACCGCTGAACGACCTCAGGTCAGTGCTGCGCCGCCCCCACCCTCCTCCCTCTACCCGGCCCAGGCCTCCGGACACTCACGCCCGCAGGCATGAGCATGCCACACCCGGACACGGACACGGACACGGATGAGTGTTGGCGTCCGAGCGGCGCGCTCGCTCGCTCGCTCACACACTGAACACTGTCCTCGTCTGTCTGTCTCTCTCTCTCTCTAGCTCGCGCTCTCGCCGGCCCGCTGCCGCCCAGCCGGTGCGCCATCTCACCCCGCTCTATGCCTGCAGTTTTCAGACGACAAAATCCGCCATTGCCGACCCAATGCTGGCCATATGGGGTCAACAAATGTTTGTTAACGAAGACACCACGCAGTAAGTGACATGTTACACGTGCCTACACTAGCGGCTCCCGTCTTTGGAGCCTGTTTGTCTCGCTTCTCTTCCCCGCTGGCTGACTTCTCCGTCTCTCTATCTGTACATAGCCTGCGAACGTGACTGGGCCACGCGGCAATTTGGCTTGCGACCGATGGCCTGTCCTTTGGCTCCCCCAACCCACGCCGATGCTCGAGTCACTTCTGCGACGGCCCGTGCCTTCTCAATGATGATTTGGAAATGCAGATGCAGAAGCCGCGTATTTTCGCCTGGAAACTCGACGGCCTTTGTTCTCTTTGTTGTCCGAATTCGAGTTCCAAAATCTTTCAGATGTTACAGAATGTTTCATAGATTTACATCGCCAACTATGCTAATCCTTGCTCATAAACGTCACGAGACAAAGTTAAATCAAAGACAAAATCGTTCTGGATAAGGAAATCGGGACGGGGTCGTACAAGTCGTCGTCTGGGAGAAGCTATGCGGCGCTACGACAGATACTGGCTAGAGGCCGGTCACTGCTAACGGTCGCCGGCTCTGGCTGGGCGAGACTCTGTGGCGATGTGGGTCGAGTTGGTGACGCCGTGGTACATACGGCCAGGACGGCCTGGCGTCACCGCCGCCTTCCCCTCACCCGCCGGCCGCCGCTCACCCCCGGCCGCCCCTCCTGCTGTCGTCGCTTTCCCGGCCCGGCACGCGGTCCAGCCTCTTGGCCGTCCCTCCTGCCGCCGCTTCCCAGCCGACGTCGCCAACCTCACTTGTTTTTTTGTGTTCTTGTTATTGGTTTTGCTATGAAAAGGGATGATGGTCGATATGTTATGGGTGTTATGGGCACCTGTATTCATGACTTATTAGTTTGGTTAAGCATGACCTTCATCAGCCTGTTTTGTCACTCACTTCGGGTTCTCGCAGCCATATGAGGTTTGCCATCAAGTCAGGCATTATTCTTCTGCTTGGTATCTTCCAGTTCTGAGCAGGCTCCTGTACTGTCCAAAGACGTCTCTGTCCTTGTCTCTGAATGGCTGAGTACAGACATGTGAAGGCGCTTCTCTGGTGGAATGAGACGTGACCGCATGCCGCCAAGCCGCCGTAAATATAGCTGATATGACGCAGTGGCCGGCGCATATGCATGTATCTACAGATGATACACATTAACGTCGTTCGTGCGGTATCATGTCGTTAAAGTAGCATTTCAAAGCCCTAGCAGCAACGACAAACTATGTTAACTCTGCTGCAGCTCAAAGTCGGGACCATTGGGATTTTTCGGGTTTTTCTTTTCATGCAGTGCCAAAATTGTAATGTCCAGTTCCGCAAACGTGTGTGTGTAGGAGACGGGGGGGGGGGGGGGGGGGGTTATCTTCGTCTATTTTCCTTTGTGCCGGACCACACTACAAACAACAAACATAATTATCGTAAACACAATCGGCGGTAGAAAGCAATAAACGAGAGGACCACGATCAGAAGATGATTTGGCTGGTACGCATCTTCTTTGAAGAGCGCTTGTTACCGTTACTGACAGCGGCCGTACGACGCGTACTGTAAGTCGATGAAGCGCACGCCAAAATTGTCTGTAGGGCGGATGGATACCGCGGGCACTAGCGCGGAGGGGTGGTGCGGTTCGCCCTCCAGTGCACCGTCGAAGCCGGCAGCGAACGGTCCGCGCGCCGGCGGCGCCAGCCGAGCGTCGGCCGCCGGCCGGTGGTGGCGAGCGGGACGCTCTCTGTCGTCAGTCGCCGCGCCCGAGGCGTGCCGGGCTCACGGCCGCACACGCCGTCCGAGAGAGCTGGCGTACAGGGCGCCAGCTGCCGTCAGTCGCCGCGCCCGAGGCGTGCCGGGCTCACGGCCGCACAGGCCGCCCGAGAGAGCTGCCGTACAGGACGCCAGCTGTCGTCGTGTTGTGCATTGCTGCAGCTCATTGCCGTAGATCCGCCTGCGCCTGCGATTGGTAGCATGCTCGCTGGGTTTGCACGGCTCTCGTGGTTGCACTGTGTTGAGAGGCATGCGTGAAAACTGGAAGCATGAAATAGGTTCAGTCGTGGATTATCAGACAAGGATGGAGTCGGCTTGAGTCGCTTGCACATGTTAAGCAATCACGTTTGGGAGTGATGACCGTCCAGTCATGTACCGCACACTGCCCTAGTCATACCTTACACCGCTTGTTGTGGGATGGCCACATTCTGGATATAAAACGGTCTCATTCCTTTGCATCCAGTTTCTGAGTCGGCGTGATTTTAAGCTACTGTTCCCCCTGGGGAGTGCCGTGCGCAAAGTATGCAGTGTTTGCACCAAATGATGCCAACATTGATCGTGTCCTTGTAGGTTAGGTTACTGTGCGAAGTGGTCATGATGCATCCCTGGTATGCCATCGATCACAACTAATCACTGTAGAACGCCGGAGAGCCTCTGCCCATAGCACACCGGAGAGCCTCTGCCCATAGCACACTGGAGTGCCCCTGCCCATAGCACACCGGAGAGCCTCTGCCCATAGCACACCGGAGAGCCCCTGCCCATAGCACACCGCAGAGCCTCGGCCCATAGCACACCGGAGAGCCTCTGCCCACAGCCGCACAAACGCGCCTAATTGCCTGCTTTGTTGGGTTATGCGCACTTCATCACTCACCCATACATGTCAGAAATTGTACGCGCTTAAACGGCGAGCGGCGGAGTAAAGGTTGTGTGATAAATCATAGCTTGCTTTTCATCATGTGATGTGCTGTGGGAGAGCCAATTTACATCAGTGAACTGGCGTACATCGTTGGTACGCACTTGTTTCAGAGTCATCGTTCTGTGGCCTGCCGCACCGCTGCCTGCATGTATCGGGTTTTGACACGTTTAGGTTGGGACGGAGTTTTCACGTGTTCATTCTTATTTCGCAAAACGATAGGTGGAACTTGCCCCTCGACACTGTACATGCCTCTTGCTTGGAGGATGACAACACTGAGACACAGGGTTGACCCAAAGAAGTATGACATATTACATCATGAACGTTCATAGACTCCAAGTACGTGACGTTACTTGAAATGACGAATGTAGAATTGTCTCCGTAAATCAGTGCTAGGAAGATTCGTGATGGGCCCATGCATGCAGGCTTGCATTCAGCCATCCGTCACGATGTAGGGGTTCTGTGCTCTCGACACCATTGCCCCGCTGAGAAAGCGTCGACGTCCGGCGGTCGTGGTGAGTCGAAGTCGGATACGAACCGCGCTGCTCAACTGGACTGAACACGGCCGGCGGAGCGCCAGAGTGACGTGTCACTGGCCGTCCGGTGACGTCACACCAGCCGTCCGATGACGTGATGCTGGTCGCCGGGTTACAGCGGACGTGCCATCCAGGGTTTTGGCCGGATGTAATCGAGCTACGTTCACTTTCGCTGGTTGATGGAATGACGGCTGACGTGTTTACTGCTCAGGGCCGCGTGCGCTGGCCGTTCGAGCTGGATGGTGCGCCACCGTACGGGCCCGCTGGCCCGCTGGCCTGTGTGGAAGCTGACGCCGGCTCGGGGGAGGGGGGGGGGGGGGGGGGAAGGGAGGCAGCGCGACCGTGTGGAGGCCTGTGCAGGTTCCGGGGGTCCAGCGCTGCCCTCTGTGAAGGCCGCCGCCGCCCCCGGGACCCAGCGCTGCACTGTGTGGAAGCTGACGCCGGCTCCGGGACCCAGCGCTGCCCTGTGTGGAGGCCGTTGCCGGCTGCGGGGGCCCGGCGTGGCTGATGGGTGGCGTGTCGTTCGGATATCCGGCGGCCGGGCGGCGGCGAATGCCCAGCCGCCGGAGCTCTCGGAGGTGTCTGACGCGGTGCGGGCGTCCACCAACAGGATGGCGCGCACCTTCTGCATCAGCAACCACGGCCACGGCATGTACCTGTGCTCGCCCTCCGAGGTCCAGAAGTTCACCATCTCGGCCGACTTTTGGTGAGGCCTCCAGACGCAGATGAACCTGGACTGCGGTGTTGCAGCGGCGGGGAGGGGCTCAGTGGCGCAGGGGTCCCGGGTCAGAGACGGCAGTCATTGTCTTCAGAGTGCGGAGCCCGTCTGTCTGGCCGGTACCTTCCAGGAGGCGGTTCTTGTATACGATCCTGGTAAACATGCTGGATTGATGTGATCAGCTTTGATGTATCGACGGTATTGCCGCCTTTCTCACCGGACCAGCGGTAGGAGAGACCTGTATTATCATAGTCATATCAGATTGCTTCTTGGTGAGCTCAAGATGAGTGGACCACATGCCAGTTGCATGTAAAGAGGCCCTTCTGCGCAGGCCAAATATTCCATACGCTAGCAGGCGGCTGCTCTTCTTGGCCTTTTTCCCGCCAGTGCAGAAAACCCCCTTCAGACGCATGTTGCAGACCAGGACAATCACGGCCGTTGGCTGCTCTGGATTGGCTGGACTCTGATCGACAGTGAAGGCGCGTACGACCGTCGGCGGCACTTGCGTGGCTCGCGCCATATGTCAGCCGTCGCTGGCGACGGTGAACTCCCGCGGCCGGCGCCGATGCACAGTCGACGGCCGCGGCCCCGGCCCGTCCCGTGACCTGGTGACCTCCTGTTGCAGCACCCAGCTGCAGGACATGGTGGGCGAGCTGTTCCTGGCGTGCGACACGCCCGAGCCACCGCAGCAGAGCTTCTTCAAGGGCCTGTTCGGCGGCGGCGTGCGCTCCCTGGACCGCGAGGAGCTCTGTGAGTGGCTGGCGGTCGGCTGGGCCCAGCGGCAGAGGCGCGCGGCGGCTGTGGGCAGCGGCGCCGCACGCGGCAGGCTAGCGGCGCCCGTGGAGGGGCTGTCGACGCATCACTAATGGTTGTCGGCGACTCGGCGCCGCGACGTGTGTCCATCGACTCGCGTGGCTAATGATCTCGTCGGCTTGACAACATTCCAGCCGTGTGTCGGCCGGCGTGACTAATGATACCGTCGGCGCGACATCTCCGCCGCCGATCGATGTGTGTAACGATCTTATCACCGGCTCGTCAGCGTTTCACCTGTTTGCCAACGCGTTTGGCCGGCGATATCGTCGGCTGGCGACGCCCCACACCAGTTAAGGTGTGAGGCCGAGAGGGGGGGGGGGGGTCTCGGTCCGCCCTCTCAGGGCGGGGCGCCACCCGGGCTGGCCGTCCTCTCCGGGTGCGGTCGGTGATGAGCGGCGGAGATGTCGCTCTGATGGAGATGAGTCTCTGCCCTCTCAGGGCGGGGCGCCGCCCTGGCTGGCCGTCCTCTCCGGGTGCAGTCGGTGGTGAGCCCCGCTCTGCCCTCTCAGGGCGGGGCGCCACCCTGGCTGGCCGTCCTCTTTGGGGTGCGGTCGGTGGTGAGCCCCGCTCTGCCCCGCACGGAGCCGATGCCGGCCACCGCGGCGCGTCTCAGGCGGCCGGTGCGCGCTGGTCTTCGCCGTGCTGCTGAAGGAGGGATTAGGCGCCAGTTTCAACCCGGGCGGGGAGAGGATGTGACTAAGACACGGAGCGGCGGGGCTCCTGCGGGTCGGAGGACGGATGCGCCCCCCCCCCCCCCCTGAGCGGTCTGGACGACCTCACGCTGCATATAGGAAGCAGTCCCCCGGTCTGGCAGCCCATTATTTGTATTTACTAGATCTTTATTAGTTTATTACGGCATTGGATTGCCGTAGAGACCGGTGCTACATTTCACTTCACCGGATTGTGTGGGATAAAGCCCGTGAAATATGTTAGGCTTTAATTGTGCTGGCGCTGGCGCCGAAAACTGCTGGATCTGTGTGCAATTCGGAGACTACTAACGGACTTAACTGTTTTATCTCAGTGGTCGGTGTCCAGCTCTGCTGGCCGGTCGACTGACGCCGCTGTTCCGTTAAGGTTGTCATGCTGGGCCGCTGCCGTCTTTTGGCCCATGCTAAGGCGTTGCGGTTCGCGGTGCGCGGGTGGGAAGACTTAAGGAAAGGCGAATTCCACCAGCGGTTAGACTGACACCCTGGAATCGTCAGGACAGTCCGTGGCCGGGTGAGCTCGGCAGCCACGGTGTGAGCCGGCCGCTGTGCCGCGGGCGTGACGGGAGGCGCCCGGCCGTCGGTCCAGCGCGGCCGGCTGACACTGGCGTGCACTCCTGCGGGCGTGTGCTCCCGCTGACGTACGCCTCCACTAGCGTGTGTTCCCACTGACGTGTGCTCCTGCTGGCGTGACCTCCACTGGCGTGTGCTCCCACTGACGTGTGTTCCTACTGGCATGTGCTCCCGCTGACGTGCGCCTCCACTGGCGTGTGCTCCCGCTGGCGTGTGCTCCCGCTAACGTAACCTCCACTGACGTGTGCTCCCACTGGCGTGTGCTCCAACTGACGTGCGCTCCCACTGACGTGTGCTCCCGCTGGCGTGTGCTCCCGCTGATATGCGCGGTATTCCGCAGTTGGCGAGACGTCAGGCAAGGCGTCGCGCAGCGTGGCCAAGCTACTGACGGGTCCGACAGCGCAGGCGGAGCAGCTGCAGGCGCGCGTGGCCACGAGCGGCGGCGAGGTGGGCCGCGCCCGCCAGCTGATGGTCGAGCGCGGCCAGAAGCTCTCCAAGCTGGAGGACCGCACCGAGCAGATGATGGCCGACGCCGACAACTTCTCCTCGACCGCACACCAGCTAATGATGCGCTACAAAGACAAGAAGTGGTACCAGCTGTGAGCGGCCGGCGCGGGCGGTGCTGGCGCCTGGACTCGGCGGCGAGCTGCTGTTGTACTGTAGGGGTGATATTGGGCGGTCGAGCCGGGCGCCGCCGCCGGGCTCTCTACCCTCGCGTCGCGCGCATGGACCGATTTGTGCAATAAGGACGGCATGCGTGGCGGGATGGGCTTCGTGCGTTGTGGTTGTGCCCTTACCGAGGCGGGCAGGTGTTTGTACTAGTCCGGCCCCGGTCGGCGGGCCTGTGGTGGTCGCGTGGCGGGCGCTCTGTTGGAGCGATTTTAGACTGGACCACACCTTCACGGGCCAATTTCACCTCCCCCCCCTCCCCTCTCGTGCCCCTTGAAGTAGGCCGTGCGGTCTGTAGAGTGTCTCTGTACACCACTGTAACTTCCCAGATCTGGCGGCCGCGGGTGACGGCGCCGCCCTCTATCGGGTGGAGTGGGCCAGCCTGCGAGGCGGCTCCGCCTGGCGGCCGCCGTCGTTGGACGGGCCCACTGGCTGACCCTCGGCCGTGACGCCCACGCCCGCGCCAGGCCGGACCGGGCCGCCACCCGCCGTAGCGTTTTGTTTGTGATAATCCACTGCGACATTCCGGGGAGAGGGCGGGCTGCACCCTTCCAGGGACGCGCACCGGCGCCGCCCCCGCCCCCGCCGGCTGCGGCGCCCAAATCTATTTTAGGAGGGGCTCGGGGCCCGAAGCGTGTGCTGGTGTTTGCCGGTGACGGTGAGGTGTCGGCGCCGCGTGGCGGTCGGCGGGCCGGGGCTGCGGGCTCCGGCCTTCGGAGCGACGCTGGTGGCCGGGGGCGTCAGGCCCGCCGCTCCGGGCGCCTGCGGACCGCGTGCGACCGCACCCTCTGATCGCCCCGACGGCTGTCGGCGGGCCGCGCGGGTCCGGCGTCGGTCGCGGCGCGTGGCGACAGCCGGGCCCGACGCACAAGAGCGGCACAGTGGCCGGGCGCAGGCCCGCGCAGGCGACCAGCGTCCCGGCGCTGGTGAGAACAGCGGGCCCGCAGCCCTGGTTGACACGCGATTGTATTCGTTGGGCCAAATGATGTTAGATTGTTGGTTCGAGTTACCGGAGTTGTTTTGTTGGTGACTGGAAATGATTATGAATACACCGGCTAACTGAGCGGAGTGGTTCTGTGGAACGCGAAAAGAAATAATGACTATTATTGGGACCGGACGCTCAATAGGCGGTATTTGCCAATTTGCGTTCGCCTTGCTCAAATGTACGGGCTTCTATGGAGCTTGCCTGGCTTGCGAGCCGCTTGGCACCCGTGCCGATGACGTCACCGGAGGGCCGACGGCGGAGCGGCGCGGAACATTGTGAAGG